GGAAATGGAAGCTTCCCTTTTTACTTTATACAACTCTGCACTGAAAAAAATCTTCTGACATGCATTCAATACTTCTGTAATATCAAATTCATCAATTAAATGCCCCCCCCMAAAAAAAAATAAGTGGTCAGACTTATATCAGGGCCACCTCTGCTCTGCTGTGGCAACTGAGAAACCATTTAAACATTATTTTTCCTAAACGTTCAAGTGTTAAATGAATGATTATGTCTCAATTCAGTTTTGAAAGGAACAAGGAAGCTCAGTTAGACTAAAATAAGTCATCAAATCTTAAATGCCATATTGCAAAAATCCCTGAGATGATTCTTACGTGATGCTTTAGAGAACCCCAAATAGAGACCATCTCATGATTCCTGCTCACAAAAGAAATCTGGTCACACAAAGAAGGAAAAAATAAAAAAGGATAATAGAAGAAGGACAATAATTAAGCCCTGCTCTTCTCATAGATAAAGAATGACGTTTTCCAGTGATCACAGTCATGCTTCAAAGCCAGAGATAAAAGCAGCCCTGTGATTTGAGCAATTGATTCTCAAAGACGGGATTCAAAGGTAAAAGAAAAATTTCAAAAGTGGAAAGGATATGAAACAGCGTCTCTCTGAATTATGTTTTAAATGCCTCCTTTCTGTTGTTTCTTTCTCCTGTGGTTCTTCTATAGTATGTTAGAAAAACAAAGTAATTATTATTATTATTATTATTATTATTATTTTTGGACACAGCTACAACTCTCTCTCTTTTCAGAGCATATATTTAAACTATTTTTATTTTAAAGTAATCAAATCATTTCAATCTTGTTCATTCTTCAAGCACTTTTAATAAAGACACCTTTTGCCGATATGAACACATTGTACATGTAATAGATAATACAGGTTCAAGGTAATGCCTCAATTATAGTAAAATTATATAGGCATTTTACGTTGCTGGGGATTAAACCCAGGGTCTTGCACGTGCTAGGCAAACATTCTACCATTGAGCTACACCCCTAGCCAAGTAAAATTGTATATTTTGGCAAGTTTCGATTCTTGTGTAACTTAATTTTGTCACAAGTATGATTCTTCGGCCTTAAGAGTGACTGTATAAGCATGCCTTCTTTTTACTAGCATTATTTTTGTGTACACCCACCCACTGAAAACATTGCTTATTGATATTTCCAAAGAGTAAATAGGGGCCTCTCATTTAATTTTTTGGCATTTTAATTAAGCAAGAGATAAGTTACTGAAGAATCTTTTCCTCTTTTCCTTCTGCTTACTGTCTCTAAGGTATTGAAAGTGGCCCCCTAAACATCTGGCACATTTCCTAACTGGGGGCAAATGAGAGGAAGACACTGGAGTTGGATTTGGTTTCTTGGCTTTGACAGTGGGATGGGCCCTGGTAACTGGACCAGCGCAGTTGAGGTGCACCCAATCACTATGCAAGTGCTAAGTGCAGTCACACAATCTCCTTGAGAGGACAGACAAGTGGCTAAAACTCTTTGTTGCCCTCTGAAACCAAACCAAATCATTTCAGAAAATGCTCTTCAAGAGCACAATGAACTTGCAGCTGCTGCGGGGGCAGGCCCTGTCGCTCTTGACACCCCTTCATCCTTCTTCACATTAGCATGTACTGCTGGGCATAGGAACTGCAAGAGGAAGTGTAGTTCTGTCCCCAGGGTCCCTTGATGACTCCAGTGGATGACCAGGGTTAGATTCCAACAACAGCACACCCCAGACCCCCCACCCGCCCTGGCCATTTTTACCCAAGGATCCTTTGTCAAACATTTTAGATCTTAATCAATCTTCACTGTGACCTCCCAGACCCCAAGGAAGATGGATGAGGAAGTAGGTGACCTTTCACCTGTTCTTCTATTTGTCCTGCCACAGTGGACCCATTGAGAAGACAATGGGGAGGAACCTGCTGCCAGAGTTCTAAAGACCTGGCCTGGTCTCCTTTATATCCCTCCTTAAGCTGCCTTTACACTCCCTTTCTTGTCCCTCCCCCAAATCACTTGTCACTCTTTCAAAGGAAAGTTCTTTTTCTTACAGAGGGGAGAGAGGGAGGGATAGCCACAGAGAGAGGGAGAAATACTCTCTAAATATCACTTTCAATATGAAATGCGAAAGTGGTCATTTTGCTTTGTTAGATAAAGGGTAGAGGGATTCTTCCTATCTTCAGCCTTGAYTTTGGAGAGTGACTGAGGGATTTCCCTTTTATTATTTCAACTCAACACCCTTAAAGTCAACATCTATGACCTTGAGAAGGGCAGGTGATAAAAGAAATGTTTGTGTTCACACTTATTTAGTGTTTTATGTACTACAAGATGACTTTATCAATCTTCAATCACCGACTCCTCATAGCTAGTTTGCGAGTTAGAGAGAGATCTTCCCATCTCATTTTGAACAAACTGAGGTTCAGGGGGCTTAAGAAATGTGCCCAAGGTCATCCAGCTAACTAACCCAACTCAGATGCATTTCCGTGGCCCCACATTCTTTCTGCTAAGCTCAGATGCTCCTCCTACACCAGTAACCATGTCAAGTGCCAACCATTTTTATTACTCCTGGGATTTTTACAGTGTTGGGTCATCTTTTAAAAGTCTTACTAAGCTTTGGAATTTAAAAAAGCCTTGTCTTTCAAGTTTTTCCTTCTTCCCAAAATTCATCACAGACTTTCACTTGGTAGAAATAAAAACAAATGAGAAAATGAACTGCAAGATTTTGTGTAAGATGTGTCTTTTTGAGAGAGCTAATAATTTTATGAGAAAAAAACCCGAAAATCTCAGTAGCATGTATGAAATCTGAAGGTTCTTAAAATTGGCTTAACCAAACTTCCCCCTTGCRTTAGGTATCTGGGCTTGTTAGAAACAGCTCACTCATAAACGGACTGGGTCTGAACCATGGAGCCCCTCCCCTTCCATGAATCACATGATTAACTGGATTCCCAAGATGATTTCCATAAAGCAAACCACTAAAATGTTCAATTGCCTTTACATCCACTTCGCCCTCCATCTTTTTCTCTTTTCCTTCTAATTTGGGTTGTAAAAATGTCAAGGAGTTGCACAATGTGGCAATGTATGAGTTACTGGGCTCTATGACAATTGAAAATCAATGGCATTAGTTACAGGGAGATGAGCTAATGCTAGAAGGGTGAGCTTTTTAACAGGAAATGGAAGACAATGTTGGTTTTTTAAATATATATATATATATATATATATATATATAATTTTATAAGAAAATTTGACATGGAAAGATGGACAAGTCCCAGTCTTAAAAAATTGGGAAGGTAGAATATTTTACTCTAAAATATGATGGAGATGTCATTGACCCATTCCTGCTATACCACTGGAATTTCGTTGCCAATAATAATATGCTCACATATTTTCTAATATTGATGCCAGAATATTCTTCAGAGTTTCAACTCTGTACAGCTCATCACTTTTGCCAGGTCAAAAGCAAATAAAAATGCAAGAAGTCAATCTTTATAAAAAACTCAAAATTCCAACTTGCAAATTTTCAAGTTTTCTTTTACACTGAAGTTAGAAGATAGCCAGGCTTTATTCTCTTTTATTTACAATGAAATTAAAGGACAGTCACTGTTAGCTACTTCTGCAACTAACCATTAATGGCACTTTGGGAAAGTATAAACCATGAAAGGAGAAATGTCTGCATTTATAATGAAGATGAATTATCAAAAATGCAATTTTCTTTAGGTTGTGAAGTCTGGCACCCAGTCAATCAAGTGAAATGCCCCATTGTTAATCCCACCCTGTCATTAAGATGGTTGAAATGCCAGACAAATTGTTTGGCAGTCAGTTATTTCAGGCTCTTTAATCACCAAATCAGATGAACCATGTGGCAATCCAGTCTACAGCTCCACAATCACCAGAAGAAAAGATTAGTCAGATCTTTTCTATAGGTGAGACTAAATCACAGTGCAACTGTTTAGTAGTAACCATCACCACCTAGGCCAGGGTAGTATCAGACTAGTGATAACCACTGAAAATAAACACCAAGCAAGACAAAAGTTTAAGATAATTAATTTTTTTAGACTTAATCCACATAGAATATAAACAATCCACAGATAAGTGGATTACTYTCATTCCTTACTTGGATATAAAGCTGCCACCAAGTGAAAGACTTTACAAAATCCCCAGTATTCTGACAGAGGGAAAGAGGCAAGATTGAATCATGAATACTRAACTTGAGGTGAGAAAAATCACCTTAGTAATATGTGAACAGCAATCAACATGATGAAAACGACATTATTTTTCCAAAAACGTAATTACCAAAGTGAATCACAGTTTACTCTTGCCTCTGACCACAGATCAAATAAGATCCTTAACTCTATTATAATCTCCTAAGAGAAATGAAGAGGTCTTTGGTCAAGATTTAATTTCACTTAGAGTCTCTATCTAATGGGTGTTCAGTAGAACAGAATGAACTGGAAACGCCACGGCCACTACACTTCATTGGGCCACTTCTCCACTCGTCCACAAGGCAGAAGGAGTAAAAAGACATGGACTTTCTTCACACAGGGTGATTTTACAGAATGTCAGGGAACTGAAACAACACAATCCTAATTCCACACTCGAATCATTCATGCACATATATTTAAGATGGAAGATATTCACCAACTTTGTCATTTGACCAACTCTATAGATGGGAAAACTATGTCTCAAAAATGTGTCCACCTCTTTGAGTGAGGATCCATCAAGCCCCCTTCTTGGGCTTGTTCATTTACATTTCAGAGGGTGTACCCAGCCAGTTCAGATCTAACTGCCTGTTAGCAAATGTGCTTGGCCTTGGGCTGATGACAGCAGCATCATTTATTTTGTCAGTATTAGAGATGTCTTAGCCTTGCCACCTGGAGCTACAGCACTTACTCATTAGACCCCTCTGTCCCACCACATCCCAYAGGGGCTGCTAATTACTGGCTTTACTCCATTTAGTCTCATCTCGGATTTAATTACGTGCACTAAGCCCTAATGAAAAGTACAATATGGCTCTTCTTACCTTGGCATTCTCCATTTTGCTCTTCGTGCCCAGCATTACACAGGCAGTTGCCAATGGGTACCAGCCATTCACCATCTGCCCCACAGTACATTTTTGGCACATCCTTCTCTTCTGAGTTGTTGACACAGGAGCCCCGAACTTCCACCAGGGAAGAGGTATCAGCCCCTGTGATGGTGTCTGGAAACTGCGCCAGGTTGCGAACTGTGAGTGGACACTTCTTATAGAACACTCGGACGGACACCAGAGCAATGCAGGCCCCCACGTCCTGAAAAGCCAGGTAAAACCCCTTTTTGCTCAGTGGTCCTACATCCCGGATCTCGGTGTTCAGCTTCATGATTCTGTCACCTATGTCCACTTGGGTGAAGCTCTCATCCGCAGCGATGGTGTCAATCTTGGCAAATTGGCTCTCCCTGATGAAACGCTCCTTATCGTTGTCTGACTCATAGTAGTACAGATTAAAGGTCTCCTTGCAAGTCCCCATGACRCCCGGGAGACTGTTGCAGTCCCTCAGGGTGAATTTGATCTCGATGTACACCCTCTGAGCCCCTTCCCGCGTGATCCAGTCAGTTCGCAGCCAGTTGTTCTGGCTGGGCTCCATCACGTTGCACACCTGGTAGGTCCGGATGGGTGTATTCTTTTCATCCATGATACTCACTTCCTCCCACTGCAAAGACCCAGAGGGAATGCATGAGTTACAAAGTCTCCTCAAACAGGGATTTGCTAATTCTATTTTATTCCCATAGGACATGGATCATTTTTGTTTCAATGATTTAGAAAACTACTGAGTTACAGTCCTCATAAATAAAGCATCTCTTGGGAGATCAATCTTTTTTTTTTTAATTATTGTTTTGCATTTTTGCCTAAAATCCAGAAGCAATGGTGGATTTASTACTTGTGGGTTCTCAGCAGCTCCTTGTGGTGGTCTAACAAACTCAAATTCCTCTATTACAATAGCTACAATTTCAAGTGGTAACAGTTCAAATTTGCTCATAAACTTAAAAAGAAAGAAAGAAAGAAAAACAAACAAACAAAAAAGAAAACAACAACCCAAACTAGTAAGTGTATTACTCCAACCACAGAAACAGAGACAGGCAAATTAAGGCCAGGAAGAGTAAAGCTTGCCAAAGGGAGACAATTATCAGTTAATTAGTGTTGCTCCTGTCAGAACTTTGCTCTCTAATACCTAAAAAAAAAAATGTCAATTGATTTTTTTTTTTGGGCATCATCACTACTATTTAAAGGGGAAAATAAATTCCCATCATTTTGGTTTCAGTGATCCTGGCAAGACAGTAAATATGGTKGCATTTCTCAAAAATACAGTGTTCCACTAACAAAAAACTTTTCAAGACCATGCTTTCAGTTCAAAAGTTTGCACGTATTCTTATTTTGAATGAGACCCATAAGGAAACTAGAGTGAAGACGTGTTTTGCTTCTAAATCTTCAGCGGATATTGAAAATAAAACTGTAAGTGGCATTCATGATGAGAAGCCCAAGGAACTTTGTAAAGGAGGACTCCAGTGTTTCCTATGCCTTCTGCTTCCTCRCACAAGGATTCTTCAATGGTGGACAATCTGAGTTCCGATTAACTAAAGTGGCAATTTCACTTTCACCACAGCTTTAAAAAGTAATTCTAAAATCAAGATGACAGTTTGGGCTCCTATACTCTGACTTCTACTAAGCTGATAGGGAGTCTCCAATTCCTCATTAACATCCACAGCAATGCATTAATATAGATCTGGCATAAATCAGCTTAAGTACCTAACACATGAATGTAATTAGAAGAAAAAAAAGATAGTTTAAAAATTTGTATTCTGCAATAGTTCCACTTAAAGTTCCATTCAATCCAGTGAAGTGCACAGAACCATAATGTACCTTTTAASAGGTTTCCCATCTGTGCATTGGAAAACTATTAATGGATGGAAATGTTGCTATGGAAAGGGCCATAATCCATAAAATTCTGTATTCCTTTCATCTTGCTGCCATTATGAAAGTTGGAACTGGGAGTGGGGGTGGTGATTAAAACTGCTTTTTATCTAGTAAGCAATACATCACCAGTAATTTCCTTGTTTTGGGAAATTCATGTAAATCCAAAAGAAGATCCTGCATCTTCCAAAAGACCTGCTCAGCATGTTTCTCATCTCAGAACAAAGGGAAAATGGAAGGACCCATTTCTCAGTGAACACAGAGGTATTGTCAGAGAGTACACAGAGGATAATTCAGGTCTAGTGTGAACTTTCCAACTTGAGCTTAATTGTCTAACCACATTGATTAGTTCACCAGAACAGTGACATGCTTTCCCTTAGTTTTGTATTTTACAATCAGCATGAGCACCTCAATATACTCGTTTAAGTGAATACTGCTAAGAAATCAGTTTTGTTTTTGTTTTTGTTTTCTTTTGTTTCCTTTGCCATCAGGACCCATCACTTTCCATTATTCTCCTGTTCTGCATAGTTGTTCTGATGGACAATGACTTGTCTCTGACTCAGTCTCATATCTTACTTAGTGGTATTATCAAATCAGATTTCTTTTTAAAATAACACAAGTAGCAACAACCAAATGTCATTATCAGACAACWATCCTAAGTTTCTAGCAAGGATGTGAAATGTTCTAGCTACAAGTAGAGATTTTAGACTTTTCTCTCTATTACCTAAAAAAAAGGTCAATTGATTTGTGTGTGTGTGGGGGGGCACCATCACTACTATTTAAAGGGGAAAATAAATTCCTATCATTTTGGTTTCAGTGGTCCTGACAAGATAGTAAATATGGTTGCATTTCTCAGTATTTTTGAATAGTTGAAGAATAGTTGATGACTCAGTATTTTTTACCCTAACTAGAAGGAACTTTTAACAATCAATCCCTAGTTGGTACATACCCAGTTCATCCTCTGCTCTAAACCTAAAAAGTCTCCTTCAGTGATAAAATCTAGAGCTTACTTAAATGTCATAATTTGACATAATTTCTCAWTGATGGCTATGTCTTTTGGAATGACTAATTCTCTTGTATACTAGTAGAATTTCACTTCTAACTTTTAATAATACTTAAATGTTATACATCTAATATTTAAAGAAAACAAAAAGCTACCTATATCAGCTTATAGAGAGGTCTGTTTTATACAGTAAGGTATCATTAGTATTTTTTTAAAATAAGACTTCAAGACAATTAAAAGAAGTTTTGAGTCTATTAAACATAACCAGGTACTCTTTCAGCAGTTCTTTGAGGGAATTGAAAAGAGAGCAAAAGAAAGTGGGTGGGGGAAGAAGGAAGGGAAGAAAAGAAAAGGGAGGACATTTGTAGCAAAGTAAATTGCAATAAAAGCTTTCTGGAAATTGGATAGACCATAGGCTGTCCTCTCAAATGTGTCCCTCCTAGTTTTTTATGTAACTCACAATCTATTTAGTGAAAAAAATTAGGGTCAAAATCATCCTAGATATATTTGCTCTTCAAACCTAAAAGCAAGCTGTAAGAAAAATAAGACTCATTAAATTTATTAGTACAAGTAAGGGCAACTTCCACCCTCAATTTTGCCAGAAGCACTAATCCATTTTAACCTATGGGGTAACATGTGGGCTAGAGCCTGGGAAAGCCCAGCCTGAATCAGTGACCTTTCCAGAGTATAGGATTAACAATGAGYCTGACTCTCACCGAGATAACGCTGTACCTTTCTTCACATTCAAAGGATGAGGGCAATTGCCTGCAATCAGTGGTGAATACAGCTTGTCTACACCACCAGAGGCCTGCCAATCACTCTCYCTCCCCTTTAAATCATGGTTTTGGGGACAGACTAGAATTTTTCAGCAAAGACCAATCCAAGGGCAGGCAGTCAAGTTCAGGCAGAAAAACAGGAAGGCAAGGCAATCTTCATCTTATTGCAGATGGATTACAGGCCCTGCTTTGATTCTTTATTTTTATGACTATTTTTTTTTTTGCCCAGTCTCARTTTTGAAACAGATCTTCTATAATAGTTCCTATGAATCCCCCGCCCCAATCATTTATTGTTTATTCAGTTGCTGGGTATGAGGCCCCATGAGGGGTGCTGGCATTACAATTTTCTCCTGGAAGAGATTCCTAATCTTTCTTTCCCATTGTTTCTAATCAATGGACTCAGGCAAAAACCATCAAGCAGGTGAAGGTTGGATGATTTACCTAATTTTAAAAGGGTACAACAGTTATTTTAAGATGGCAGAAATCAGACCTACAGGTCCTATTGACTTCTTTTCAAAGCTGAGTCATCTGGACTTGCTATTAAGGGGGTTGGGAGAATGTGACCRTAGACCCAGGAATATTCTGTGAATCTTTCCATTGGAGGTCTTGCTACAAATCTGAGAAAAAATGAACAGGAATATATGCTCTTTCATACTTTATAACCTAGCCTCTCTCACCCCTAAAGATTCAGATTCCAGACACTCAAACTTTTCACATTTAACACTAACAGTCTACATGCTCCGGGCTTCTCTGCATGCAGTATATGCCCCTGGCTCAGGCTCACAAGGCTTTTTCTCAGCCTGTAAAAGAGAACAGCAACTGATTTAAGGTTGTAACAGCGAGGTTGGGAGCCTCCCGCCACTTATATGGGGCAATTAGAAATGTTTTCTCTTTGGTATTTCTATTTATTCATTTTTTTTTCTAATCTGGAAGCAGAACAATTGCTCTAAAATTAACCCTGTCAGGACTCCATGCCCATCAGAGTAATAGGCATAAATTCTAATTTGGTCCCCGGATTGTATTTCTTGTTGGTATTTTAGTTTTAAATAGGCATCCAAGTCTATTCCTCCACCAATCTCCTACTTTTGAAACCCCTTTCTGCCCTTTTGGTTTCTAGTTCTTCCATGACAGCGCTATCCAAGGGAGTATAGGATTTCTCCAACAAAGCCTAATTCACTTCATAGGCCACAGCGGAAATCTGACCCCCTCACCACAATCACCAAGAATCAAGCCATTAGGACTTTCAGAAACTTGCTAATCACTCCTTTTTTACCCTTTCCATCAGAGAGCAACTCAGAACTTACCCCTCCTTCCAGAGGGCTTGCTATCCACCCAAGTTCTCCCTGAACGGATCTGGAATCCAATAAAGTAACTGCAAAAGAAAAAAAAAAAAGGAAAATAGATTAATTTCCAATTGCAAAAAGGCAATAATACAAAAACCATTTGCCTGAGCGTTTCCATATGTGCTCAGGGTGTGCATATCCAACTATGATCAAAACCTAAACTTGGTCTCACTTATGTAAATAATCATTACTCACTTGATCTTCTCTCCTCTTTAAATCTACAGGTTCTTATTTATTTAACTTGCATAACATTTAAAATTCCATCCCAGGTCTCAGTTGATTCATTTTCCAAAAAGGGTGAATAGTACAATTCGAATTTCAAGTACAATTCAAAAAAAACAAATACATCAATGTAGGGCAGTAACACTCCGGAGCAAAATTTGCATTCATCTCTGTCTGGTATCTACTAGAAGTATTTGTTTTTGCAGGTTTCAGATGACCATATAACTCCTCATCATGGTGACAGAGCCATAAGTGAATTCTATCAGAGAGTATCCAAAGGGTCAAGGAAAAATCTCTCTCTCCCCTGACACCCCTCCCCCAAACAAATAGGCTCTGGAGGTGGTATCCCCTGCTTTTTAAATATCAAAGTTTCAGGAAGAGGGAATGCCAGACACGTTGAATTCGAATGCAAATGCACTCAAGTATTCTCCTTTCTCGGGTCTTTTGGAGGACACTCGGAGACCAGCCTACCACTGAAGAGAAAAATACTGGTTTGAATTTTAGGTGTGGAGTGCTGCCTAATGGATATAGGACGCGTGTGCTACAACACCTAACGAGTGTGCCACAAAGCTTAGGGGGAAGGGAAAGAGTGCCTACAGAGCTGCCATACCCGGCTTAGGCTGGAATAGGGCTAGGTACCGATGACATTGAAMGACGCAAAGAATTCGAAATCTCTCCACATTCCCTTTCCTTCCCACCGCTATCTGCAGGCCTGGGGGTCGAAAGGCCCATCTCAAAGGAACCACTGGGTTATTAATTTGATCAGTGAGACAGGCTCTTCAGGCTGGGGGAGGGGTGGGAATGGAAAGCCTCCATCCTTCCTCATGGGCACCCCAACTCAGTTTCACCCCCAGGTTCCTGAATTCTACCCATTTCCCCTCTCATTTCATTCACAAACTAAGGGCGTTAAAATCAGTCTCTTTCCCCTGGTTTTCTTGAGGAGCCTGAAATCCTGGGGTGTGTTAATTATTTTAAAATGTAGAGCCTTCCCTGGGTTGCTCCCGCCGGGAGTTGAGCCCCCCCCACACACACTTTCTCTTCTCAGTCCCTAGAGAAAAGCCCCGCTACATCCATTTGGATTTATGTAAGGTGGATTAGGAACACAAAGGGAACAATAAGACCCAATTTACAAAAAAAGGGAGGGAGTAGAAAGGGAGGGTAAAAAGGAGAAAAGGAAACGTGATGGGAATAAAAAGCAACAAAATGAATTAATTTTTAAGAGAAGGAGGGGTTGGAGAGGGGTGTAAACCCCCTCCCCTTTCATTCAACATCAGCCCACGTTTCCACCAGCGCTTTTTTGTGTAAGGCTCCCAAGTTTGGCTTCCAACAGAAAAAGCCAGGGGGTAAAAGGTAAAAATAAAGAAAACAGTCTCTATGTCTGCGATGTGAGGATAATCTTAGAGGACGTCCGAACAAGTGCGCAAAGTAGCCAGGAAAACCCAAGATCCAGAATTCCGTTCAGGGGGATGACCCTAGAGACCAAGGCGAGGCGGCCACCGCGGCTGGGGTGGCAACTCCAGGCGCTTAGGACGCAGGGGAAGATCGGAGAGGACAAGAGAGCGCTCCGTTCCTTCCAAGCCGTGTCTGTGGGCAGGTGTTTGACTCTGTCTCTCGGAGCCTCSGTCTGGAGAGCTCTGGGTACCGGCTGCCCAAGCGAGGCTAACTAAGTTGGGTTTTGGCTCCCTCCTTCGGAACAGGGAAAATGATAGTTTGCATAGGGATGTTGGGCTGAAGTCTGGGGAGACAGAGATGGATGAATGGCTGGATGGATGAATGTGGGAGGAGGAAGAGTAGATAAGACGAAAGCAAGGCTAGATGCACGCAGGTTGGAGCGTGAGCGTACGTTTGGACACAAGCACACGCACTCGGGGCACACGCGCRCGGGCAAATCGTCCGCGTCCGCGTTCACGAGGGCACTCTCTTCCTTCACGCATTTGTGCGCGCACATACACAGACGGACATATACACACTCACGCAAACAGCTCCCCTTTCTCTGGACCCGTCAGAAACTAAACGATCCTCCACCCCAACCTCTACACAGAGACATGGGCATGTACAATCCTCCCAGCACGTCGGAATAGACGCGCAGAAAACAGCACACAGACGGGGTGCAGTCGCTCAGGTTTCCTTTAAACTAGCCAAATGTACTATTCTGGGCCGAAAAGCAAAAACTACGTTCAACTTGCTGGCGGGTTCCCGGGATTGAGAGGGCAATCTGAGGAGCTCAGGGCTCTGGAGGTCGTCGATCGCACCCCTAGGGTGTAGGGCTCGGCGAAAAGAAAGGTGTCTRATGCTTGTTGCTAGAAATCAGGTCACAGGCGCCCGAGGAGCCGCGCCACGACCGCTGCCCTGCGAAGGCCCGGCTGCCGGGTCCGGGAAACGCGTGGCTTGGGAAACTTTGCAGAAACCAGAGCTCCGAAGGCTTTCTTAAGAACCCGGGAGCACTAAGCCCTCGCTGCATTCCAGGCTTGCGTTTTCCCCTTGCCCAGGGATGGTAATGGGGGCGGGGGTGCATAATTTTTTGTTGTTTTGTTTTCAAATCCTGCATTGGCTCCAGTGCATCCCCTCGGGGCGCCTCCAGCCTCCACGCCAGAGGATGCTGATAAACTTTGGCCTTTCACTACAAACTTGGACAGCCCCGCCGCCTGCACGGGTCACGGCCTCKGGGCAGGCTACTTGGCGTTTTTCCATCACCCTTTCGCGGATCTCTTCGACCTGGAACCCTTCTCCAGGGTTGGGACGCACCGCKCACTCTAGGCTCCCTCCACACCAACCGGCCCTACGCTACCGAAGACCATTTACCCGCGGATCGTCCCCAGTCTGTCCCCGATCCAGACAGGCTGCTTCGTTCTTACCTTCATTCGCCGGGTATACCCTGGAACCGGTGACAGCGTCGCAAATCCCAAAGAGAAACGAAAAGAGGACGAAATAGAAAATCCCAGCCATGGTTCGCCGGTGCCAACGCTGCTCCTGCMGCTTCTATCCCAGTGGAATAAATGCTTAAGTTAGGAGTGCAGCAGGCTGAAGACATTGCCAAGAGGGTGGGCCCTACCCGTGACGTGCGCACGCCAGTCCAAGGCCGGAGACCAATGGTGGTGCAGACTGGATGGCCCGGCCTCGCCCCTAAGCTCAAGCCCGCCCCGAGGCCCCGCCCCCTCCGGGCTCCGCGGGGCGTACGGTCTCCGGGGGTTGGAACCGGCCAGCTCCGCTGGGTTCCCGCCCCCGCGGGAGCGTAGCAGCCTGATGCTCAGACACCAGGGTCGAGCCCCTAGACGGTGGAGGGAGATTCAAAAGACTCAATTGACTGTGGGAACCCGAGAAGAGGTTGGCAACCTTCTTTCCCCTCAACGGACGGTCTGAGATGTCGAAAAAGGCTCTTACTGAAATAAAATAAGTATAAAGTTGACCTGCCCCTTTGCTGCTGCTCCTGTCCGAGGATCGGCGGCTCCGCGTCCCGCCTGCACGTCTGGGGCTGCACACTTCCTCCTGCAGGCCGCCTCCGCTACCCTCTGTTTCCTTGCCCTGTTTTGTGTCTTTTTATGGCGCTCCTGCGTCTGAAATGCTTTTTTTTGGGGGGGGGGGGTTCGTACCTGGATTACTCGTTTCTTCCCTACTTTCCCACCAACCTAGAGAGTGGGGACCAAGTCATCCCCAATCCAGCCCCTAGCAGGGCTCCAGTCACTGCCTCACAAGCTTAACCCGATGACTTCTAGCATCAGGGAAATCCTCCCGGGCCGGGTCCCAGCGTTCACACCGAGCGTCTCACCGGGAACCCGGACAGGTCTCTCCTCGCAGCCAGGTACCCGGAGACGGTCTGGGCTACAGGGAACCAATTTGCGCTTTCTGGGGGAAGTCCCTGGAACCCGATTTAGCGATTTCGGGACGCAGTGGACCAGAGCAAAGGGCCTGTGAGTGCTAGGACTTGCAGCTGTACGAGAACGCAAAGGAGACTCGGAAGGGGCCCGGAACTGCTGCGGTTGCTGGGCGCTCGACCGCTTCTCTGCGCTGATCAGGACAGTTCTCCCAGCCCCAGGAGAGGGTGGTGAGCGGCCAGAAGCACAGAACGCTCCCCGCTGCCCCCGTCTCGGCTTCTCGGGTATCGCTGTCGAACCCTCCGGGCGTGCTGGCACCTCTGGGCCGTGGTCTGTCCCCGGATGCTTAGGTCATGAGCGCAGCCACCTGAGCGTCTATCGGTGACAGAAGCTCAGGCAGTTACCCGGGGACCAAACCCCAATACAACTGAAAGCATCCTCCCCGGAGGTGTGAAGGGGACCCTGATGCTCAGTGAAAAGCCTCCCTTTCTTCCTCCCAGGCCGCCTCTCCTCTGGTTCCTCCCAGGGCAGGGCCGGGTTTTCCTCCGGAGTCTGGGTCCCAGCGGGAGTGCTGCTGCCGAGAGGTGGTGGGGCCTTCCAGCTCCGGAATCGGCTCTTGGTGAACCAACCGCGCCACCTGCCGGCCAGACTCCGACCTGCGCTGCCCAGGAGGAAGGGTGAGCGGACAAAGACCGAAACCAACTGCCCGCCCCTCTGGGAGGTGGGAAGCGTCGGTAGACTTTGGTAGCCACCTGCCCACGTTCAGCCCACTCAGGCCACTACTAGCGGTGTGGCTGGAGGCAATTTCGAGAAGTCCTTGGACTCCTATCGCTCCCCGCTATCCAGATTACGAAAGATGGACTTGGAAAACGTTTCAAGGAGAAACAGTTGACATCCGAGGGGCTGCTGGAGTAGCCAGCTGCTCTCCCTAAAATCGAAAGTCCGAGCGATGAAGGGCCCTGTTGAGGAGGGAATAGACCCGGCGTCACTGGCCGCAGTTTTAGGGCACTGGCCTCGACAGCAGATCCTATTTCCCTCAGTGGCTCAGACCTGCGCAGACCTCGACTGACGACACCGGCAACTTTGACTTTTAAAGACCAGCGCGCTTGGCTAGACGCCGGGCAGTCGCTTTGAGTSGGGGCCTGGAGGGACACCTTGTGCGGCTCTGGCATTTTGGCTCCTTGGTGAAACACCTATGAAATGTCTCCATCTGGGAAATGGATTTCAGTTTATTGTAGCTACTGATTTTACACAAGTAAAAGGGGGGTGGGGATATGCACACACGATGTGTGTGTGTGTGTGTGTGTGTGTGTATAAATTATTTAAAACAACTTCACCAAATCCCTTTAAGGAATGCATTTCTAGGTTCTTTCATGTGCCTTTCAGAATTTTACAGGAAAAGAAGATGAATATTGGTCCCTGTCATTTGGCACACAGATTCAAAAGAGAAAAGAGCAATCCAAATTCTTCTTGAAACATTTTTTAAACAATAGACACTGGTTGTTTCTCTGCAGGAGTTGGAATATTGYATGTATCTGTGGTTGAAATGGAAAACTGACTGCCTGCATCATTAAAAACAGAAAAATTTCTAAAACATGTACCATCCCCACCCCCCAGGATATGCACACTGAATATTAAGCAAAGTCTTTTTCCAGCCACAGCTGCCTGGAAGCAAGACATCATTTGCTAGGGTACATTCACTGATCCCCCTTTTTCCTGTTTTTCATTTTAGGGCTCAAAGCTGCCCAATAATCAGGTGAACCAAGAAGCTGGATTGCTGACTGGGAAAATCTGYGCTCCAACTTTCCTCTGTAAAGCATTTCTGGGCTGCAGATTGGAAATGAACTGCTGTTCATTGTGGCTACCTGGAGGAGAATTCTTCTGTCCTCTGTGATTACTTAGAGGGGAAAGACTTCTAACCTGACAAACAGGATTCCTTCTAAAAAAATAAGATAAAAATGGAAACACCATCATCAATGCAAAACCCTCTCTGCACCCCATAATCGGAAAACACCCTGGAATTTTCAAACTTCTAAGTGTGAACAATCAGTCTGTAGAGCCATAAGCACAGAACCCAACACAAAACCTACCTAACATCACCTACTTTTAAAATAAAGTTGCTTGGCTCTTCTGAGTAAAACAAGCCTCTCAGAACTGTGAGAAGGTAGGGGTGCTTTGAATCCACTAAGGGGAATCTCAAGATGAATCTGCTAATAAGCTTAATATAAAGGATTAATTAAATGACTTGATAGCTTTGACTTTTTTTTTCATACTGTGCCTAACACAAAGACTTGAGCCACGAAATACACTGTCAATACTAAGTTGAATTATGGTTGTGTTTCAAAGGCATCTCTAATCTTCGAAAGACATTTTTAAATGGCCACAAGAATACCTGATTTCTGCCTCCAAGTGGAAGGCTAGTTTTGCCAAAGTAATGAGAAAGGGGCCTTTGACCTGTAGACAAACAAGCCATGATAGTGTGTTTGTAGACAAATAGCAATGGATGGAAGACAAGAGGGAGGGTGAGAAAGAGAACATGAATCCATTCCACCTTTTCCTAGGCACTGTGGTAGGATTTTGTGTTAGGTTTTAGCCTGACTTCCTTGGATGTTAGTCTTTCTACCATTAAAATGTARCACATCCACAGTGTTCCAATGATGCTTTGTCATTTCAGTTCAGAAATACCTAGGTTAATTTGCTTGCTGGACTTTTGCTATCTGTATGTCTTTGAGTAAGTTCCTTAACCTCTCTGAGATATGGCTTTCTTTCTGTAAATTGTAAATGATTTTTCTAAATATTGAATGATTTTATAGAACACAATATATTATCTGGCACATGGGAAATAGCTATTATTACAGATAATATCTCATTAAGAATTATAAACATTATTAACTGTAGAATAATTTATTTATCTCAAATCTTCTTTTTCACAAGGAAACCAAACACTGTGCTTAACTTTTTGTGCTCCATGAGAAAATAATTCTTTATCTCACAAACTCCTGGAGGAGGGAAGGAAGATACATTCTAACTTCTTCCCTTCTTTTTTTCATTGATTTATGAAGCTTACATCTAACTCCTCTGTTCCTAGATGATTCAACTAAATTTGAATCTAAAAAAAWTTTTTTTTGTCTTCAAATATAGTGGTTACAAAAACAATGAAGTAAAACAAGGTGTGAAAGACCAAAATTTCACAGCCAGGAAACAGTGCTGATGGTAAGTAAGCAAGGCTCCATGCATCTAATGAAATCTCCACTTTTGTCAGAAAGCTACCCTCTTAAATAAAGTCATCTGAAATAGCATTTGGTCGGTTTTCTGAAGCCCCCAGGAAATCCAATTAGAGATTTTATCCTTTGATGTCAAAGCTTTGATGCTGTTTCTTATGCAAATGAGAAGCAGGACTATTATTAGGCCTTTGCACCTGAGTGAGAAAGATGGCTATAGAGCTCAGGTCTTGATGGATCAAGAAGGTGGGACAAGAAGACACAGCAAGAAGCCTTTTGAGTCACTGAGGTGGGGAAGGGCTGACCGGAAAGTTGGACTACTTAAGGGGGCAAATCCGAATTTGATCCAGTTCTAACAAACATTTCTCAAGGGCAAACTATGTATCAGACACCACAGTTTGAAGACACCACAGGTTGCTTCTCAGTCTTGTCTGTGTATGACACCCACCACATGGCAATGTGGAGGACGTGGGGGGACAAGTAGAAACCAATGGGAACGTTTCCTTTATCTGGGCCCTGGAGGAAGGCGGGGAGAGAGAGAGAGAGACAAACAACACCAAGTCACTCAGTCCTGTGCCAATATAGGTGCTTTGAACCAACATTGTACAGAGACAATGARTTTTTCTGGAGGAGATGATCTATATCTGTTTTTGGCTGCATTGGTGAACGTGAGTTAAACATCAGAACTGTTTTATGGCTTAGACATGAAACCCATGCCCCAAAGGAAGTTTAAAACATTCTTTCCTGGGAACCTTGCAATTCAACCCCTGTGACCATAGATTTCCTCATTCTAGCTCAAAATGTGAACATAAAATTACCAACTCACAGTCACTGAATAATTTAGCTATTAATACTATAATATTTAATAGCAATGTTGATTTATGGTTATTAGAAGAAATTTTGGAATTATGATTGTATGATGAAAAACTAATGCTAACATACATGTGTATAACATCCAGTTGACACGGT